AGATTATGGAATATTACCAGCGTTTCCCCCATTTGCCATTTCACAGCCTAAGGAAATTCTTCTCTTATTTTCTCTTCTCTTTGTATCTAGATTGCAAAAAGGAATTTGCTTCCTACGACCAGCATGAGGAGTGGAGGAGATTGATATGAAATTGCAGAAATCTCCCCCTCTCCCTGAAGCTCCCATTGTCCTTCCTCTCTAAAGGTCTTTCCTCATTACTGCCCCTATTAAATATTGCATTTCCCATCACATTTGCTTAATGGTGTCCCTGACAACAAGTGGCCAGCTGTAAACGCCTCTCACCTTTGGGGAATGAGCAGAGTGATCGGGTTAATTTCCAAGAGGGCATCAGGGGACTGGACGGAGGAGCCCAGGGCCACAGGGGAGGATGCATCAATTAGTCCTGACAGGCTGGAAGGGGCTTGGTTTGTGCCTTGAATAATACTTATCTGCAGTAAAGCCATGGTCAGTTAACCCTTGCAGGTCTGGAACAGGAAGAACATAAGAAGAGCCTGCTGGATCAGGCCAAGGGCCCATCTAGCCCAGCATCCTGCTCTCACAATGGCCAACCAGATGCCTGTGAGAAACCTGCAAGCAGGATCTCTCCCCTCCTGTGCTTTCCAGCAACCGGTATTTGGAAGAAGCGCTGCTAGAAGCCCTCAAGCACACTCTCCTCCATGAATATGTCTAATCCTCTTTTAAAGCCATCCAGATGGGTAGCCATCCCTGCCTCCTGTGGCAGTGAGTTCCACAGTTTAACTGTGCACTGCGTGAAGAAGGGCTTTCTTTCCTCTGTCCTGAATGTGCACATTTTTGCAACACGATTCCCCCTAATATAATGCACTTTTTAATGATGTCTTCATGAATGCATGCATTTTTCTGCAACCTTTACCCTAGCAATTGTATTTTTGCATGCACTTAGCTGCGGAGTTTCACTGCAAAATCCAGAGAAGGCTGGCTGAGTGAGTTTGTGTCCTGTTTTGGGAAGTGTGAATTGGGGACATTTGCCTTTCGATGCAAGTGGAATCAAATTCTCTCCTATCCCTATTTGTAACCAAAGCACCAAAGGCTTTCCTCCGTAATCCTGGCATCATCCACTCTCCTTATTACAGCTTCAGCAGTTAAACCATTACTGCCATTGGTGATAAACTTCTGGGGTATAATTCCCAGGAGCTGACATTCCCTTTAATTTCACAGCTCCTTTTTTTTTTTTTACTGGCTGCAATATTTAGAGTCGCATGACTTAGAACATACTGAGTGACAAGTCTCTGTGTGATGGGACACTGTTATTTTTGGATTCTGTTACAAATCTCTCGCCCCATGGAAAATCTCTGCTCCCCGGGGAGCAATCGAGAGAAGAAAAGAAAGGTCACAACCTTTTCAGGATGGTGGTTACTGTGTCCCTCCGAGGGAAAGCCTTTCTCAAGGCCTGAAAGGGGAAGGTTTTGACAAAAGGAAGGTGGCATTGGGAGTGAGCAGCCAACACCGTGGATGTAGGAGTTGCCAAGTATGTGTAGTGGCAAAGCCCCAGTTCAGCCTCTGGGCAGCTTCCAACATATAGTGGTACCTCAGGTTACATACGCTTCAGGTTACAGACTCCGCTAACCCAGAAATATTACCTCGGGTTAACAACTTTGCTTCAGGATGAGAACAGAAATCATGCTCCAGCGGCGCAGCAGCAGCGGGAGGCCCCATTAGCTAAAGTGGTGCTTCAGGTTAAGAACAGTTTCAGGTTAAGAACAGACCTCCGGAACGAATTGAGTACTTAACCTGAGGTACCACTGTATTTAGAGTTGCCAACTATCCAGAACTGAACGTTTTTCTCCTAACCAGTTTCCAGATCAGGAAGATGGAAGGTCAAAATAAAATTGTATGGTCAGCTGAACTTTCATTATGGTTTGTATTTAGTTCAGGTGCTTTAAAACAGCCTCCCATACCCTCCAACATCTCTCCAATGAAAATAGGGACGTCCTATTCCATAATGATAAAAAAATATTTTTATTATTATAACCCACCCATCTGGCTGGGTTGCCCCAGCCACTCCAACAGAAAAGGTTGTTTTCTGCTGCTCCAGAGAAGCGGACACGGAGCAATGGATCCAAACTACAAGAAAGAAGATTCCACCTAAACATTAGGAAGAACTTCCTGACAGTAAGAGCTGTTTGACAGTGGAATTTGCTGCCAAGGAGTGTGGTGGAGTCTCCTTCTTTGGAGGTCTTTAAGCAGAGGCTTGACAACCATATGTCAGGAGTGCTCTGATGGTGTTTCCTGCTTGGCAGGGGGTTGGACTCAATGGCCCTTGTGGTCTCTTCCAACTCTATGATTCTATGATTCTATATATTAAAACATAATAAAACATTAAGCATTTTAAAACTTCCCTATGCAGAGCTGCCTTTAGATGTCTTCTAAAGGTTGTGTAGTGACTTATCTCCTTGGCTCGGGGGGTCGCATAACTCCATACCCTCCAACATTTCTCTGATGAAAATAGGGATGTCCTAAGGGAAAGCGGGACATTCCAGGATCAAATCAGAAACCAGGACGGCTTCTGTAAATCCAAGACTGTCCCTGGAAAATAGGAACACTTGGAGGGTCTGGCATCCACCAGCCCATGTCCTCTGCTTAGCCAATCAAAATAATCACTACCAGCAGTTCCCATGCCTGCCTCCAGCATCTCTCTTCCACAGAAATGTCTTCTGTGGGGCGGTGGGTTCTTTTGCTCATTCCCCTCCCCCTTTTCTCTGTAAGAGGCCATGGCGGGGATGGGGAACAAGCTAAGGGATATAGGGCACAGGTGGGCCACTGATAGCTGTCCCACCAGGTCCAAGGGCTACCAGCCACCACCGCTAATACCTGAAACCCACTGCATGCCAGTTGTCAAATGTTGTCAAATAAATACCCAATATTTAAATATCACTGAATGTCATGCACAGATCCTGTTCACATCTACCTGCCTCAGACTGTCTTGCCAGAGTGGTGCAAGCTCTGGTTATCTCTTGCTTGGACTACTGCAATGCACTCTATGTGGGGCTACCTTTGATGGTGACCCGGAAACTACAACTAATCCAGAACGCGGCAGCCAGACTGGTGATTGGAAGCGGCCGCTGAGACCACATAACACCGGTCTTGAAAGATCTACATTGGCTCCCAGTACGTTTCCGAGCACAATTCAAAGTGTTGGTGCTGACCTTTGAGGCCCTAAACGGCCTCGGTCCAGTATACCTGAAGGAGCGTCTCCACCCCCATCATTCTACCCGGACACTGAGGTCCAGCGCCGAGGGCCTTCTGGCAGTTCCCTCACTGCAAGAAATGAGGTTACAGGGAACCAGGCAAAGGACCTTCTCAGTAGTGGCGCCCGCCCTGTGGAACGCCCTCCCATCAGATGTCAAGGAAATAAACAACTATCTGACTTTTAGAAGACATTTGAAGGCAGCTCTGTTTAGGGAAGTTTTTAATGTTTGATGTTTTATTGTGTTTTTTAATATTCTGTTGGGTGCCGCCCAGAGCGGCTGGGGAAATCCAGCCAGATGAGCGGGCTATAAATATTATATTATAATATAATATTATATTATTATATTATATTATATTATTAATGTTGTTGTTATCGTTATTATCATTATTATCATTATTACTATTATTATTCATCAGTGTGCAGAGGATGGTGCATGGCTGTTGCTTTGTCCAACGTGAGCTCATGCAAAAACCTGAACATTTTCACAGAAGGAGGCTTTGTTGTTGTTCTGGACCTTCTTCGATGTACTTTGCGCTACTTGTTTAACGATGCAGCAGCAGAAAGCTACGCCTCTGCCTTCACTTTTCCTGCCATCTTCTTCAATTGACCCACAGCCAATGCACCCTAAAAGTGTCTATTTTTAAAGTGCAGTGCTAGGCATTTACTAGAACGATGACACAACTTTTTGAACAGAGGTGGAAACAGGACAATGTTTCCCACTCAAATGCTGGTTGAAGCACGGGGGGGAGAGAGAAAGACTGTTTATAAAAAGGGTGTACGGATTAATTGCAGTGGGACTTGGTTCTAAACCAATATTTAGTCTAAAACACTCCACTCTGTCAGTTCCCATGTCCGCAAGCTTGTTTCCACCCGTAAATAGCTCCATTTATACCGAGGCTGTTAGAATTATGGCTGGCAACATCTATTTCATGAGGACAGGCAGGGGCAGAGCAGGAGAGGGTCATGGGCGGTGTATTTGCGGCCTGGGCAAAGGGGGCACCTTTGTTTACTCATGCTAAAAAGAGAGAGAGAGAGAATATTCTTTGCACTTTCAGCCCTTTAACCGTTAGAACTTCCTTGAGTTATTAAACCCTGTCAAAACCTCAGGAGTTATGAAGTGGTTTAGCTTGAGGAGCTTTCACACACGCAAACTTCAGGAGGAAAAGCAGGCCTAGAAGAGGACTTGACCTGACCTCACAGCTCAGCCAAACAGAACCCTCTGAATGTCCCTTGGGGTGGCAGAGCATCAGGCCAAGGAGATAGTGGAGGGAGGAGCTTAACCCTTTCCCGTCTGCTGTGGTCCTGATGAAAATTGCACCCCGCTGCCAGAGTTGCCATTTGTCCCACCCTTGGCTTTGGGTGGAGGCTTCTGTCCTGATGCAAGGGGGCCACAACATCTTTCAGGGCTACTGCAGGGAACTGGGAGGGTTTAATAAACCCTCAGCACTCTCCATGATCCCAATGCTGCTAGATGGATGGATAGATATGGATTCACACAATTAAAATATGAATAGTTCGGCCCCTGTATGCACCTTGCAGGGTTGCTTTGCGGGTAAATGGTAGTGGTTTTGTGACCCAGTTTTCCAGGCATAATAGCAGGAGACAGGTCATTACTGTCTCCTTTAGAAGATTTGTCTGGTGCAGAAGAGGAGAAGAAGAAACTATAGCTGTCTATGCTGAAATTACCTCTTCTACTAGGAACCTAGGAAGCTCCCTGCCACCAAGTCAGACCATTGACTCATGTAGCTCAGTATTGTCTGCACTGACTGGCAGCTGCAGCTCTTCAGGGTTTCAGACAGGACAACCTGGGACCTTCTGCATGCAAGGCAAATGCTCTGGCCGGTGAGCTACACCTTCTTCCCCAAGGCAAATGAGCCCTGCCCTCTTGCACCTGGACCCCCTAGGCAATAGGCAGATGTAGGGCATACATCTTGCCAACAAAGACTTCACCTTGCCAACAAAGGTCCATATAGTTAAAGTGATGGTTTTCCCAGTAGTGATGTATGGAAGTGAGAGCTGGACCATCAAGAAGGCTGATCGCCAAAGAATTGATGCTTTTGAATTATGGTGCTGGAGGAGACTCTTGAGAGTCCCATGGACTGCAAGAAGATCAAACCTCTCCTTTCTTCAGGAAATCAGCCCTGAGTGCTCCCAGGAAGGACAGATCCTGAAGCTGAGGCTCCAATACTTTGGCCACCTCATGAGAAGAGAAGACTCCCTGGAAAAGACCCTGATGTTGGGAAAGATGGAGGGCACAAGGAGAAGGGGACGACAGAGGACGAGATGGTTGGACAGTGTTTTCGAAGCTACCAGCATGAGTTTGACCAAACTGCGGGAGGCAGTGGAAGACAGAAGTGCCTGGCATGCTCTGGTCCATGGGGTCACGAAGAGTCGGACACGACTAAACGACTAAACAACAACTACAGGGCATACATGCCTCTGGACTACAGCTCCCATCCTCCCTGGCAACTGGCCATCTTGGCAGGGGCTGATAGGAATCCAAATCCATAAGGAGGGCCACCAGGTCCACATCCCTGCAGCAGGGAGTAGGGCAAAGAGGTGGATATAGACCAGGGTTTCCCAAACTTGGGTCTCCAGCTGTTTTTTGGACTACAGTTCTCATCATTCCCGACCACTGGTCTTGCCAGCTAGGGATGATGGGAGTTGTAGTCCGAAAATAGCTGGAAACCCAAGTTTGGGAAACACCGGTAGAGACGAACTAACCAGATGCTTGTGCTTTTAATTGCTTTCCCAGCTAAATAAGCAGTGGAGAGGAGCAAGTTGCCACCTAGTCCAACCCTCTCCATTCCTCCCCACCCCCAACCCTCAACGGCTGCACCTCTCCACCCACTCACTGCACAATGATCAAACCTGCAAGCTCCCAAACCACAGCGACAGGTGCGCTCTGCAAGCTGCCCACGCAAGAGCAGCACAACATGACTCAAAGCAAAACAGCACTCCACCCCCCTCAAGTGCTGGTATGGCACACTGGGTGGATCAAGGAGGGAGGAATCTTTGGACCTCCAGATGCTGCTGGACCTCAACTTCCATTACCCCTGAGCTTCAGCCACGCTGACTGATGGAGCACAACAACATCTGAGGGACTAGAGACCCGCCCACCCTGTGTAGATAATTGATAAAAGAAATACTGCAATCTTTGCCTCTTCCTCATTGCCCTCGAGCTTATGCTAGAATTTGGAGCCACACAATGAAGCTGGTTGGCTGTAGATTCAGGACAGGGTAGAGGAGCAGGATGCCGTCTTCCCTATCCACTTATTTCCCCATCCACAAAATATTAAGAAAAAAGGAAAATCGGTACGCTAGGTTGTAAGAAAGTATTAGAAAGTATATTAAATGTAAGGTAATAATTATAAGTACATTCAAAATCATAAATGTCACCTATATCGGGAAATGATGGGAAGTCTATATTTATTTTACTTTAGTTTGTTTTGTTGTTTTGTTTTGTTTTATGTACCATTATATGATTTTAGCTTAGCTGATATCTAAGTGGAATTAGAAGGTCAAATCAACATTCTAAGTTAAAGTAATTTAAG